GTCGTATGTGATAGCGTCAGATTGAAAGAGCCCCTGACCGCTTGTGACTGGCCCATCAAGAGGGACCCAACGAGGGATTACGACCTACTTTTCAGAGGACTGGGGGTCTGTCGTGATGGTGCCTCAATGTCTCGAACAAAGAGATTGGAACGTTTCTAAAGCCACCAAGGATAGAGAGGAGGAGAGCACTGAGGCCGCATCCAACTGCAGCACATCTTGAGTGATAGCCAATATCAGTTGCAGAATAGCTTTGTAAGAAGATTTTCGAAAGGACAGGCAATCGAAACTTTTGAGAGGCCCAAGGAAGGAGAAGTCTAAAAAAGTACCGCAGGCATCTCTCGACTATCGTGTTCCGCTGACAACAATAAACGAAGAGGGGACTCACACTTCTTCCCGACGAAAGATGGTATCGATCACGAAGTCAGCACCCGCGTCAAACCTATTCACGGTGGAGAAATACCATCACAGATTCTACCTGTTGAAGTACGCGCCGCTCCAGACCATGAAGACAGCCAAGGCTCCGGGACCGGACCATGTTTCGACCGACCTCTTACGAGCTGGAGGACATCGCCTACACGAGATACTTGCAGAACATCTTACGTCTTACCTTCAAAATGAATTATCCGCGACCAGTCGAAAACCTCCCAAATAATCTTTCTTCATAAAAAAGGCGAAAGGGAGGACCTTCGGAACTACTATCCTATATGCCTGCTAGGGTGCTTTACAAAATCTTCACCAAGATTATTCTGCTCGCATATCAAAGACACTGAATGAAGGCCAACTTGTAGAACAATCGATTTCGCAAGGGATTCAGCTACGTGGATCATCTCTAGACACTTTCGAGGATTATCGAGGTTTGCCGAGAGTACCTCCTTCCTCTCGTCCTAACTTTCGTCGACTATGAGAAAGCGATAGTGTAGAGACTAACGCCATACTGTCAGTGCTCGTCGTCCAAGGCATGGACCCCTCTTACGTGAGTACATCGACTCTTATAAGAACTGCTCTACAGCATTACAGCTTTTCCATCACCCCCTTAACATAC